GAGCGTCCCAGTGCTGTTGTCAGGATCAATGTTACGGTTAAGGATTGGAGACAGGATGAAATGGCTGGGGCACTGCAGTGAAGTTCTCCAGTAGATTACGAGCCTACCCAAGGTACTTGACAGTACACAGAAAGCCAACATGGAGGTTCTGGAATTTTCCAAGACCTCCAGCATTATACAGTGCCTTGTAGAAAACACTGGGGCAGAACAAGTGACTCAAGACACAGTGACTCTATGTGAATTGATCAAATGAAGAAAATCTTTCCATACAAAATCACACAGTTCAAATTCATCTTGCTAACACCTCTTTTATAGGCCTTTCCTCACCACCAGAACAGGGCTGTGAAAACCCTCCTCACATCATTTAGTGATCAGGCAGAGACCCATTTTTCAGTAAAGTTACAGAGGTGGATTATTTTTCAGAATGCAGCCACAGTCGAAAGTTAAATCTATTTAAAGTCTACTGTGAAAGCTACCTTGCTTCCAGTCGTCCATGAAATCACTATTGGACATTGATTTGTTTATTGTACTTTCTCCACAAACTAAAATGTGCCTGCTACACAGTATTCAAACATGTTTAGAAAGTGACATCTTTGAGACTTAAGAGTGAATTATGTTATGATGTTTGTGTGAAAGAACCAAACAGAGTTTTACATATTCAGTACTGTATTTTGATTCAAAGTATACAGTTTGAAACTCCTGAGTTAAAATGAAGCAAAGTGAAATCAAACGCTGAACTCACAGCAATTCCATGTTTTTAAGAAGAGAGTCAGGGTGGGCTTTCAGGGTGAAGGAGGAAACAATGTAAACTCATTTAAAGCTTTACTTTCACAGTATTATTGATACAGTCAGATGACCTAATTTTCTGTGCTTGTCATTGAAACAGTGATGTGTCGGTTCTTCAAGCATCTCTCCATTAAAATACAATTACATGCCTGACAGCTTTTTGATACTGTAATACACAAGCACAGCTGATACACAGTGTGCTATCAGAGTTCAAAAGAAAATGCTGCCTCTTACTGAGCCACATGAGGTCCAGGTTGAACCTGACACTACTCTCCCCTGTATAGATAACTTGGGCACCTGAATACTGAGGAACAATTTACATATAAAAGATGGTGTGAGTGAAAGTGTGGCAAAAGACTTCTGGGAAACTGATAAAAACTAATAAATAAACTAATAAAAACTAATAAATTATCTAATAAAAACTAAAAGGTTTTATGCAAATATAAAGGAAGCTCAATGATTACAAATAAGCAATGATGGAATCCTTCATTTCTATTACAGAATGCTAGAAATGATGTTATGCCACCAAGGTTATACCTAAGGTTTTTTTTCTTTCCTTTACCATTTTATTATCTTTAATGCTTCATTATCTTTCACATTCATGTGATATTAAGACAAGAGAACGCATTCAGTGTAGTTCATAGAGATACAGCTCTACTATAATGATAATCCCTCCATCCCTCCTCTTTCATTTCCACCCTTCTGTCCTCTCCCATTGTCTTACTTTTTTGATTTCTTAAAAAAACATTTAAAAATTACATTTAATTTTGTTCTTCGTAATTTTGATTAGCATGCACTATTTGTACATTACCAAGGGTGCAGGCACAGTGCATTTCTTCTCACACACACACACACACACACACACACACACACACACACACACACACTGATCAAGTCAGCAACAAGCATTTCTTTGCTTATTTTTCTCCCTGTTTGGAGATTCCCAGATCCTGAATTGCAGTTCTTTGCATGGCATAACATATTATTGTGAACCACAGTCACACCAATGTGCCATGGAACACTAAAACTTGTTATTTCTGTCTCACTGTATTGTGAGATCAGTTCTTCAACTTCCTCAATACCCCCTCCACCACTTTTCCAGCCCCATCATCACTACTGTAGGCTCAGATCTCACATTTTTAATTTCAACACAGGAAAATGACATGAGAGCCTTGTCTTGGTCTGGATTGCTTCACACGGCATGGTGACCTCACTTTCATTCATTCTGCTGTCAGAAATTTCTTTTTTTGATGGATGAAAAATAGTGTATATAGGCTGCCTTTTTAAACAAATTCATGGATCAATGGATATTGTGTCAGTCAGGTTTGCATTACTTTTAAGTGGAGAGCTTGAGGAGAGAGCCAGCTGTTACATGAAAGGCTTAAGATTGTGGGAGTGGCCTTGAAACAGCATGGAACGCAGGTTGGAAGAATTTTGAAGGGCGTAAAAGGATACACCTAGATTGCTAAGAATGGAGTTTCAAGGTAATACTGGCAAGGGCCCAGAAAGATGAAAGAAGAGCTACAGAGAAAGCCTCAGCCTCCTTAGAGAATACCCAGTAGTCCTGAAAACTGACAGGAACATTGGCTAGAGCACTCTAATTAGACCTCAGAATGAGGTTGTGAGTGTGTGATGGGACCGTGGAGGAGAGGGAATACGTAGAACTTGGCTAAATTGCACTCATCGTCTGGTGTTTGTGGATGGTAGAACTTGCAGTAAGAGTTGGAGTTGCTCGTATGACCAAAGGCTTCTCTAGCCAATGTGTTGAAGGAGTGGTTTGGTACTTACACGAATAACGAAAATTGAGAAGCAGTTATTAAAGACAGTGTTTTTAAGCAAAAAGGAACTAGAGCATTAAAGCTTGAAAAATGTTCAGCCTAGCTATGTTGAAAAGAATGGGAAAACCTGTTCAAGAAAGAATATCATTATTTCCCTGATCTGTGCTAATACACAGGGTACAGAGCAGTAATCTATGTGAGCAAGACTGACATTTGGAGATTTGATTATTACTACAGTGTTGTCTATATTCTTGAGGAGGTGTAGTTTATTATTGTACTTGGTATGTGCTGTAATTGTTTTTTACTTAATGAAGCGTTAAGCCTGTGATTATGAAAGTATGCCACTGTAAATTTTTTAAAAACAAACAAACAAAAAAAGAGACAAGGGTATACAGAGAAATTGAGCATGAGGGAAGTTTATGGTGTGCTCCTAAATCTGTATTACAAAATACATTAAGTTGTCATTTTGCATAAATAGAATAATGTATATGCATATGTATATATTATGCATAGTATACATAACATACTATATAATTATATTTGTATTTATTCATATATGCATATATGTGTATGCATGTGTGCATATATAGACACATATGTGCATTGAGAGAGAACTAAAAATTTATGGAAGCCTACCAAGTCACATGGAGATTAGTCATCTACACAGTAGCTAGAAGCTTTCCTTTAGGGCAGTAGAAGACATAGTTGAAAGATAGATCTGATAATGGACCAATAATATGTGACCCTGCTTTTTTCTGAGGTCTTAGGTCACTTGACATCACAAAGATTCCTCAATTTCCAGAGTGGGTCACAAGGAGATTAAACCAAAAATGGGTCACAGAAATAGTGCTACTCACACCAGCTGAAGCTCCTTCAGGAAGCAAATATGTATGCCTGGAATTATCTCTGAGGCAAGCTGCTTTATACAAAAAAGTGCAGGTGTCTCTTTCATATGCTGCATTTACTTCATGTGAATATATTCACAGGAGTATGATATCCAGGTGATATGGTAAATTCAACTTTCAGTTTCCTGAGGAATTCCTATGCTCCCAATCATAATAATTTTACCAATTTGCACACCCAGCTGTAGTTTATTGGTGCACCCTTTCTCCTCAGCCTTGCCATCACTTGTTATTTTAATAGCCATTTTGTAAGCAACATATTGATCAGTCAGTAGCATGTTATTTGATTACAAGTCGTAAATTTTCCATTTTTTTTTCTCTTTTGTTGATTTTTCCATGATTTTTAATTTGGAGGTGGGGTGTATACTAATTGTACGAAGCAGACTGTCACATACAGATGTGAAGATACAATGCAGTGTGCATCTCTACTTGCAAATCAAAGATGGACTTCCAATGAAACAGTTAAATGTATCTTGACAATAGGCTACTGGACTCTTTGCCATTTCCCATGTCTACAATGTCAGGAGACACCTAAATAGCAGAATGATGGACTTAAGGCTAATTGTGAAGAACTATACTATTGCAATGATATGGGAGAATCAGTGAGGGATGGGGAGCGTGTGTTTGAGAAGCAGGAAAGGGAAATCCTAGAGCCTATGAAACTGTATCATGGAATAGTAAATTAATTAAAATTTTGAAAAAGTTATAGTTATTGAGAATGGGACTGAACTCACCCTCTCTCATTGACATCAGATCATCTCTCCATTACATTCTTCTCATTAACCAACCTATGAACAGCATCCAAGTCATGCAGAGGAGCAGGGTCCCTGGGCTCAGTGACTGGGACCCATATACCAGGCACCACTGGAAGAGAAAGAGACTAAGTAACGAAGCTTCACCCCAACTTATAACTGGTCAGTGTTCACCAGCTTTACCAGCTCAGCAGAATACTGGTTAGCTTCTCCACTGCATACTGACCCTGGCACTGAACTTCACTCTAGCATAACTTTCTTTAAATGTTCTAACTCTGGGGGCTGGCACATAGGCTCAACCAGCTAATTTCCTAACTCAAAGTAACTGTATCCTTTATGGGCACCGGTTCTTGTCCCAGTTGCTCCACCTCTGATCTGCTCCCTGCGCATGGCCTGGGAAAAGCAGAGGAGGATGGCTCAAAGACATGCACCCATGTGGGACACCTTAAAGAAGCTCCCGGTTTCAGATTGGCTGAGCTCTGGTTGTTGCGGCCATTTAGGACATGAGCCAGTAAACAGCAAATCTTTATCTATGCTCTCCTCTCTGTAAATCTGCCTTTCACTAAAAAGATAAACCTTGTAAAATTCTAACTTTAAAGCATATAGATTATATTGGAGTCTTTTATATTCTCAAAGACTCTGCACCTCAGTGCTTTTCCGTCCATGCCAAACATTAAAAACATTGAGGAGGATGTTTCTTACGTCGAGAGGCCACACTGTTTCCCTGACATATAAAATTTACTCTGGGCCCCATGCAGTAACCTAGTGGCTAAAGTCCTTACCTTGCCTGAGGCGGGATCCCATATGCATGCTAATTTGTGTCCTGGCTGCTCCACTTCCCAATCAGCTCCCTGCTTGTGACCTGGGAAAGCAGTCAAGGATGGCCCAAAGCCTTGAGACCCTGCAACCAAGTGGGAGAACTGTAAGAAGCTGCTGGCTCCTGGCTTTGAATCCACTTAGCTATGGGCAGTGAGATCACCAGGGTGATCTTCCTCTGTCTTTCCTTCTCTATATATATCTCAGTTTCCAATAAAAATAATTAAATCTTTTTAAAAATGCCCTTTGATCAATCCACTGTGAATTTGAGTGGACCCTCACAGTGAAGCCTCATCAATATCCACAATTTGTTACTGCAACAGATCAATGGAAACAGTTTTCTTAGCCATGTGAGATCAGGAAATAGAATATCTTCTAGTAAATGCAAAGCAAATAATCACTTTTTAAAAGATTTATTTAATTTTATTGTAAAGTCAGATATACAGAGAAGAGGAGAGACAGAGAAGATCTTCCATCCGATGATTCACTCCCCAAGCGGTCGCAATGGCGGGAGCTGAGCCAATCCGAAGCCAAGAGCCAGGAACCTCCTCCAGGTCTCCCACGCGAGTGCAGGGTCCCAAAGTTTTGGGCCGTCCTGGACTGCTTTCCCAGGCCACAAGCAGGGAGCTGGATGGGAAGCGGGGCTGCCGGGACTTTAACCACTATGCTATCGTGCTGGGCATGGAGATAAATACTTTTAAAAAGGGCTTTTGGGCCCTTAAAATTAAATCAGTTTAAATATTTACTCTGAGTGTGCCTGTCCTCAGGAACTTGTGGAAATTGGCTTTGGACTTTGGTAGGCATAGTCTCTAAATAAAACAAAATAAACTCAATAATCAATTCAGTTACTTTCTAGAATTAGATTTGGAGAGGCACACATTGAGCAAAGTGAAATGTGATGACACTGATAACTTTTGGTAAGTGGTAGTATGTCTTAATTTAAGTCACAGCAGTAATTCTTCGTAATTTTAAACTGTGTTAAATGTGGTTAAAGAAGGAAAGCAGGGTGAGTTGAGGGCTAATTTCCTTGGTTATGGTTATTCATAAGTTTAGTGTCTGTGGTTCTTTTATCAGAGTATTTATGAATTAAATTTTTCTCATGATAAACTATCTTTGGTAATACTTCTCAATTTGATGTATAGGTTGTATAATATTGATATGGTCATTCTAGGTAGATCTTGAAAGTCTGTTTTCAATTGACCCATAATAATTAACATATTTCTAAAATACAAGGTGAAACTTCCAAACCTGATATTATAACCTGTATCATTGTGGAATGATCATATTGGATAATTACCATATCCCTCACTTTCAGCATCTGTATTTCTTTGTGATGATAACATTCAAAATCCTCTCTACAGCTACACTGAATATGTTGCAATTAACCTCACTGTGCCAAATCATATGAGACCTCACTCATTGGTCACTCTCTCAAATTTTTTCAAACTTGTTTCTAACCTCTGGAAACCATTGTTTTGTATCTGATTTCTAGGAAATCAACTTTGTTATATATTTCACAAAGCATGAGATTATGTAGTATTTGTCTTTCTGCATCTGGTTTATTTCATTTGACAGAATGTCTTCCAAGTTTATCCATGTTATCACAAGTGATATGATGTTGCTTTTTATAGCTACATAGTATTCTAATGTGTATATAATGATGGACACACAGGTTGATTCCATGATGAATGGTATGATGAATGGTGCTGCAATAAACATGGGAAATCAGATGTTTTCTGCACTGATCCATTTCATTCAGAAATATTCATAATGTGATTGGTAAATCACATTCAAGTCATACTTTTAGGATTTTTTTGGTGGGTCTTCCTACTGCTTTCTGTAATGACTGTTCTAATATATGCTTCTGTGAATACTGTCATGAATAATGTGCAAAGTTTCCTTTTTCCCATGTCATCACTAATAATTAGTATTTCTTGATCATCTCCAATCTTAGTGAAGTGAGATAACCTCATTTTGGCTTTTGAGAGAAAAATTCAAAACTTTTGCTTACTTGCTGGCCATCTGTATTTCTTCTTCTAAGAAATGTCTATTCATGACTTCTGATAATTTTTGAATCAGGGTTTTGCTTGCTTGTTATTGAGTTATCTGAGTTTCTTATAGGTTATTAACCCTTTACCAAAGGAACAGTGTCTTTGCTCTCCTGAGTATTGTCTTGGTTGTGGAGAATCTTCTGATTCCACTTGTCAGTTTTTGCTTTTGTTTTCTGTGCCTTTGAGATCTTACCCAGATTCTCATTGCCCAGATCAAGATCCCTGCTTCATTCTGAGTTGATTTCTGTGTCAGGTGTTAGGTAGGGGTGTTGTGTTATACTTCTGCATGCCTGGATTCAGTTTATACAACAGTATTTGTTGAACATACGGCCTTTTTCCAGGGATTATGTTAGCTCTTTGTCAAAAATTAGTTGACTGTAGATACCTGGATAAATCCCTGTGTGTCTGTTCTGCTCCGTTGCTCTAAATGTTTGTTTTCTTGCCTGTACTAGAGTGATTTATTGTAATTCCACTTTAATATCTTTCAATTCGATGTTGTGACAGCTCGGGCCTTGTTTTTGTTCTTTAAGAGTGTTTTAGATATTCATGATTTTTATGATTCAATTTGAAATATTTAAAGCTCATTCTATAGTTTATTTTAAATTATTTATTGATATAAGTGAACACATTTCCTATAAACACATACACATTATTATAAAGTGAACACTTTATTGATATAATGTGAACACATTTCACACATTTTCCAATACATATTTAGCAAGGAGATCTGAGAATGTCTTTAATAGTTTATTGATATTAAATCTGTAAATTGCTTTGAGCATTATGAAAGATTGACAATATTAATTCTTCCAATCCATAAACATGGAAGATTGTTCCACTTTTTTCTTCTTCTATATCAGTCAATAATGTTTGGTAATTTTCATTGCAAGAATCTTTCACTTGCTTTGTTAAATTTATTTCAAGGCATTTAAAGTCCTGAATGCTATTGTGAAAGGTATTGCTTTTACATGTTCTTTCTCAATCATGGCTATTGATTTTATAACCTGCAACTTTAGCAAGCTCTCCTCTGTGTTCTAATAGTTTATTTTGGCGGTCTTTTGATCCATCTTCTATGTACAGGATGGTGTCTTCTGCAAACAGGGATAAGTCTACTTTCTCCTTTACAGTTTATATCCATTTGATCTTTTTTCTTGCCTAACCTCTGTGCCTACAGAGTTATATTGAACAGCAGTGGTGAATGTGAGCATAACTGGTTTCAAATCTTGGTGCAAATGCTACCAACACTTCCATATTCAAAATGATGCTGAGGTAATGGATTTGTTGTAAATTACGTTGGTCATGTTGAGCAATGATCGTTCTCTATCCTGTTTGCTTAAAGCGTTTTCTCATTAAAGGTGTTGTGTTTTATCAAATGCTTCCTCTACATCTGTTGAGATAACCATATGCTTTTTATCATTCAATGTTGATTATTTAATTTTCATACGAAGTATCACATTTATTTATTCACATATATTGAAGTGTCCCTGCATAACACAGATGAATCCCATTCAGTGTAGCTGCATGATTTTTCTGATATATTTTCATATTTAATTATTTTGTATTTTATTGAGGATTTTCTCTTCTGTGTTCACCAGGGACAACAGCCCGATAGTTCTCCTTCTTGCTGTCACTTTCTGGTTTGGAAGTCAAGGTGATATGATCTCATAGAAGGCGTTAGGAAGTGTTCTCTCCCTTTAAACAGCTTTGAATAGTGGGGTAGCACTGGAATCAATTTTTGAAGAGTTTGGTAGAATTCAACAATAAAGACATCTGGGCCTGGGCTTTTCTCTGTTGACAGTGTTTTAATTAATTATTCAATATCTGTCTTTGATATTGATCTTTTCATGTTATCTGGGTTTTCATGAATCAATTTTGGTGGTTGAATGTGCCAGATAGTTATTTGCAGTAACCCCCAATGACTCTTCTATATCTGTGGCATCCATAAAAACATCTCCTTTTTCATCCAGGATTTATTAATTTGAGTGTTCTCTCATTTTCTTAAGTTAATGGAGTCAATAGTGTATTATTTTTCCTTCCTACTAATGTTGTACTTGATTTGTTGTTCTTCTAGGTCCTTGAGATGTATTGTAAGCTCACTGATCTAAAGCCATCCTAATTTCAGGATATAAACGCTAATTACTAAAAACTTTCCTCAAAATGCAGATTTTTCTGTATCTTCTAAGTTTAGTATGCTATGTTGTCATCTTTATTCACTTCTGCTAATTTGCTATCTCTTTGCTTTTACTGATTATTATTATTTTTTAATATTGTTTACATAGTTGACAGGGATGCATACCCATATGAGCTTCTGATTTGAGTGTGAAGGTTCAGTTACAGAGGCAGGTAAGTGGGACATGTTTCAGGTTTTTTTTTTCCCCCTTTGTCTACAAGGGAGGAAGGGGAGGGAGCTGCTCTGCCAGAGACCAGTTCCAGCTGACTGAGAGCTTGCAAAGGATGCGTGGATCGGCGAGATGATAGGAAGAGATAAGACACGGACCACTATGACTTGATGCTCATAATGGACAACTCAGAAAAGTTGCCTTCTTTATTTATACATAAATCATCACAAGTTTTTGCACAACATCCAATTGTTTCATTTTTCCTTACATCATGTTTATGAAAATGCAAGAAGCAATCCTAAAAAATATTTTTCTATTTCAAAGAAAACATTCTTAGCAAACCATTACTCATTGAAACCTGCAATCACCTGGCTGAAGCCAGGAACTCCACGGTTGGCAGCACAAGCAGTTACATATTGACAAGTAGTTTACTTATACTCAAAATCAATGTTTACTAAACACAAACTAATATTGATTAAAATATTAAGAATACAGAATTAAAAGATCATAAATGAAAGGATTTTATAAAAGCATATAACATAGATTTTTTGCTAAATCTTATAATCAAATCATGCATTAATTACGGTCACCGTCACCTAGTGCTGATTCAATTGTTTTTTGTTCTTTTGTTAAAGGGCAGTGAAAGGGATCAAGGCAATTCAGCCAATCTACAAACAGAGGGCCTTTACAAGAAACTTTCTTTCATCTATATAAACTGTTTTCTTTTCATAAATATGAATGCCAATATAAGATAGAAATTTTTAGCCAATTTGAGGGGGTTCACATTTATTTCCTTATAAAAGATGCCCCATATACTTTTGCTTTCTGTGGTAAGAAACTAAAATGCGTCATATCATGTGTTGTAACAGTTCGAGGTGCATGGTAAACAAACTCTTTGTACCTCCATGATTGCCATCTGTTGCAAGATATTATCAAGCCATTTCTTAAGGAAAACATTACTTATACTAGGGCAAACTTTAGGACAAAAGTGGGCACATAACAGGATGTTTGAAAACATAGTGGGCTCAATTGTATTATTGTATACTTTCAACTGTGTGTCATGGCCTTACGTTACTATAGGTGTTTTTATCATAACATGATAGATCAATTTGAGGTGTCATACCAGTTACAGGAATCACTTCACATTAGCAGAAAAGCAACAACAACACCCTCAGAAGAATTCTATGAAACATCAGAGAGGTGATTGAGTTCCATACAATGGGTGAGGCAGAGACCATACAATGAGGTGACCAGAGACATTCTGCCAGGCCTTGCCACGCAGCCAGAAACTCCTCGCAGCCTTGCTAACTGAGGAGCGGTGCTCATCACACACCCATGCCATCCGACCCAACTGCACGGCTCCCCACACTGCTCCTTGCTCTCAAACTACATTAGCACCTGGGGATAGGGGATGTTTCTTTGATGGTGCCTTAGAGACCCTGATGCGGGAATAGTGTTCTGAGGGTGTTAGTTTAGTGTTTTTGATAGTTCTGAGGCATTGCACCAAATGCTTGCTTCATTGCACCAAAGTTGAGAAAATCTTTCCAAGGTTTATTGGTTTTCAAAGTCCATCCATAGTAGCAACAAATCCAGCAAAATGGTGTAAAGCTTGGTTAGGAGAGCTGTTCTGCTTTGCAGCCTTTGATGAGGCAGTTGACATCCCTTGCTGGCCTTATGGGGTGATCATCATGTCCTCCATGTGCATTTGTACATGCAGTCCACCACAAAGGCATCATCAACTGAGGACACCCCATTCTGATACTTGCACCCTAAGGACGGACCACACATATTGTGATTTTTTTTTCTAGGTGGCCAGGTTATGAGTTCAACAATCATGTTAGGGTGATCCCAAGGAACATCACTTGGGGTAATCTCACACTTCACTCTTGTGTGTTGCAGATGTGTTGCATTACCTGCACCAGATCATGCATCTAACTGTGATTGCAGCTTAGTTAGTTCTTCCCCAGCCCTGTAAATCATGAAAGCTGAGAGATGCTATGGCCCATGCTGGTTAGCGTGCACAGACCCAATCCTCACACATACCAGTGGATGCAGCCTAGTGAGGAGGCCTCAATTAGTCCTCTCCAGACAGCCTCCTATCCCTGGTTTTTGTTCATGCCACTTTCTGCTGTGGCCTAGCCCAACCCATGCTACAACTCATCCAGTTTTCATACACACTGGTGGGTTGTGCAGCTCAACTCAGCACTACTAGCTCCCAGACATTGTATCAAATATCCTGACAGGTGCTATTGCCTTGTCCAGCCTGGCCTGTCCCCAGCCCTGATTCTTGTGCTCACCAGTGATATGTACAGACTAACAGAGGGGAATGACCATAGTTCCCCTGCAAGGAATGTTTCAAACCCAGATTTTACACCTGTCAGAGAGTAGTGTAGTCCAGCCTGACAGGACTTACACTCATTCCCAGCACTTGGCAGCTAGTGCTGACACCCAGCATGCCTGGCCTGCTTCATTCTGGCTCTCATCTCATTCATGCCAGTAGGTGCAGCAACCTTTCCCAGTCTGGCATACCCACTAGACCAGTTCACCCCCAATCCCAATTCTCATGCTCACTAGAGGAAACAGCAGTATAGCTAGGGAGTCCCTGAATTCCACTATCAGGCCCACTCTTAGCCCCAGGTTATGAGTGTGTGAGCAGCTGTAGCACCCCAGTATGAGATGGTCTTTCCCCAATCTCAACATTTGCCAGTAAGTACTACAGCTAGGCTCAGTCCAACCTGTCCCCAGTCCAGCTCTCATGGGTGGGTGCAGCAGCCTATCCCAACCTGGTCTACTGCCAGCCCTGTGTCAACTGGAAGGCGTTGGAATCCAATCTGATTCTGGCCTGCACCTTGTCCTGTCTCTCACTCATGCCAGTGTGTTCTATGGCTTGACCTTGCCCAGCCTGCCTCCAGACCCAGCACAACACTAATACCATTGGGAACTGTAGCCCAGCCTGATCTACTCTGCTCAAAGTCCTGGCTCTCACACTCAGCAGAAAGTATTTAAGCCTTGCCAGGGAATTCACCAAATTCACCTATCAGATTGGCTCCCAGCAACAATTCTCACATGTGCAGTGAGTGGTGTTACTCAGACTGACATGGCTGGCTCTCAGTCCTGGCACTCACCAGTGGATACTGTGGCCAAGTCCGACTGACCCAAAGCCAGTTTCACTCACACCTATTGCTGTTACAGCCTGGCTCTGTCTTACCCATCCATTGATTCAACTCTCAAGTGATGTAACAGTGCATCAGCCTAGCCCAGCCTGACCCACATGTATTATGGCTCTTATGATTGCCAACAAATGTTGGAACATAGCCAAGTCTGGCTGACCCTCCCTCCCCCAAGCCAGCCCACAGAAGTCATGCACACAGTAGTATAATTTCAGTCACATTTTAGAGATAGTCGCTGGTTAATGGATTGTGTTTGTCCTCCCAGTATGATAACAGTTGATTCTTAATTGGCTATCTCAGAATATAATTGACTATCAATTTGTCTCTGGATAGCCCATAAATGTTCTGAATATCTTTGCCATTTTTGCACAAGATAAATAGTCTGAACCCCCTGATACAAGGACACTCCAGCTGCAGCTGCACAGCAATGATAGCAATAATCCCCAGTATGGCTGCAATTAGCATTCCTACAAATTGTTTAGCCTGTTGAACCAAGGTATTAAGAATGAATGTAGGGCCTGGCGCGGTGGCACAGTGGTTAAAGGTCCTCGCCTTGCATGCCCGGGATCCCATATGGGTGCCGGTTCTATCTCGGCAGCCCCGCTTCCCTTCCAGCTCCCTGACTGTGGCCCGGGAAAGCAGTCAAGAACGGTCCAAAACTTTGGGACCCTCACCCGCGTGGGAGACCAGGAAGAGGCTCCTGGCTTTGGACCGGCATAGCACTGGCCGTTGCGCTCACTTGGGGAGTGAATCATCGGACGGAAGATCTTCCTCTCTGTCTCTCCTCTCTGTATATCCGCCTTTCCAATAAAAAAAATAATAAAAATAAATCTTTAAAAAAAAAAAGAATGAATGTAGATGCTGACTCTTCCCATTCCCATTCCAGTCTCATAGGTAGCTACAGTCCCACATGAACCCTGAGCAAGCATACAGATTCCAGGGAGAAATTTGCAGTATTGTTTTCTGATAAACATGTATACAAAGAACAATTCATGCAGAACAGAGAGTTCATTGATTCATTCCAATGTGTAGGCCCCATCAGCAACACAAAGAATAATCAAACACAAGTTTGGATATAAACAGCTGAATATTTTGTAAATGACACAGATAGATTCCCTGTCATCAAAAGGCCCAGGAAGCCGAGTGGAATCATTGACATACCGAGATACTCGAATTCCATGATTTGATAGGGCAGTTTAGTAGGGGATGAGGAATATAGGCCCAATAAATGTGATTACTACCCCGACTTACAGCTAAAGCAGAGGACATAGTGGTGATGGCAACCAAGGCTAGAAACAACATCTCTGGAGACAGACTGTTGTTCCCTTACGTTGCACCATGTTGATAGCTCCATTGACCCCATGTCAACAGTTTGACAGCTGCAGAGGAAACTTCTGTGATAGCAAAATAGGTGAAAAGCAAAGATTTACTAATTGAAGTATATTTAACAATAGAAAGAAATTAGTCATTGCTTTTATAGGATATGGAGATCCTGAGAGTTTTTTTTTTTTTTTTTTTAGAAAGTAGAGGAGAAAGGAAGAAAAAGCTTGTCGCCAGATTGTTTACTCCAAGGAACAACATTAAGTGAAAATTACTAACAATTTTAGAAAACATTTACCTGAAAGTTTGATGCTTGCTATAATTTTAAAGAGTACAAGTTAACAACTAAATTGTACATTATGGACAGTAATGAGAATGTAATTTGTCAAACTTAAGCGCAAATAAATTAATGTATTAATTTTAAAAATGGTTTATATTAAACATTTAAATTATGTTAATCAGAAATATTTTGTGTTGTTTTAGTGATCTTTATTTAAGACAAAATAATAAATTAGTTTTAGTAACAATTTAAGATTTGTAGATTTTTTAAAATTCTAATTAATTGATTAGAATTACTTTCTATTTTTAGTAACGTAAGTTTGCCAAATCTCTTAGATGCTTTGCAAATACAGGTAGATTTAGATTTTATATAGTTGTGCCTGGAATTATAAAACTTATTAACCAACAAGAAGAGATACCTGTTAGTTTATATGGCATTTGAAACAGACTCAAATAGTCTTTCCCCTTTGTCTAATTTATACTTAACTGTACCAAGATGACTTAGGGAACATACATCGGGCACTGGACCTGTTAAATCAAATAATTTTAACAAAAAGACATACACTATGACTGACACAAGTGGCTACCATGCTCAGACAATTTAGAAACATAATGGGCCATATCAACGTCTCATACGGGACCCTGACTCAAGAAGTTGTCCTTTGTCCAGCCTTCTTGAGTCCCAGATGAGCACGCAACACAAACATCAAACAGTGACATATCTGGATATGGGTAAGGGTCGTGTAAATCCTGTGACCCAGGAAGCCAGGATTGGCAGCAGGGGCCATGTTGATCACCATGGTGGCCCCCACAGACTTCCAAGACTGACAACTCTAAAATGTTGTAGGGTGCAAGAGAGATTGTGTCAGACAAATCTAGAATTTACTAAGAAGTCTTTACTAAACAAGCTTGGTACTCACAGTGCCCACTAAAAGTTAGCAAGTGAAAAGTCGACTATTATAATCCAGTCTGAATTGAAACCCTGAGAGGACAAAAACTGTCATTACTGTGAAATATATCCATTAAGCTAAAGACCTATGATTTAGTTTTCTCAGTAATATAAATTATCCTAAAAGATATGCACTGAATAACCTGAATACATTTACTAAATTGTAAACATTCATCTTTTTTCTGGATTTTTAGTCTACATTTTACTAATAGGCTTTATTTGTTCTGAAGTTCTTGAAAGTACATACAGCTGAATTGGACTTCTGCAATTTTTCAAACATCTTTAAAAAATAACTTAGCAGAGAACAGAAAGATTACATTAATATAAAAAGCTATAGATAAAAATTAGTATGTTGGCTTAGTTTATAAAAATGGCTCTTCAGGTAAAAGAGATATGTAAGTAACATCCATTTGCCATAATTGTTTAGAACTTTGTTCCTGAAGAGTTCCACCTGTAGGGTAAAGAGTACAAGATAAAGGGGCAGAGACGGAGCATTGAGAAAGAGTGACATTGAGATCCTGCGAGATATCAGCTTTTAATCAGCACTTCCATTAGATTTTAAGTCTGTTACTCCTTTGTAGGCACAAATTGGGTAGGATATTGGTGCTTTTGCAAACCTCTGATTTTTCGGGGTCTGGGGATGGCCATGCCAGGAGTTTCCTGGCTACAGCATCAGCCTTCATGATCAATTTTAGATTTACATAGTTTTGCCCAATGTAGACCTCTATGGTATTTAGAACATATTTTAGGATAGTGATCCTTAGCAGTATTAGCGCCATATTTTTTCAGTTAAAAGAGGCACTTGGCATTGTTTTTGAATGTGTCTGGACTTGCCATAATTAAAACACTTATTCATTTGCTTCTTGGTGGCAAAGGTTTTAAGCCCTGCCAGATGAGCAGGATCTTTGAAAGTCTCCACGTTATGGCAGACCTTTAGATAACCCACAAGTTGCTCACCAGATTTCTGAGTGTTTCATTTACTACAATCTTTTCATATATGTCCCAATTTGCCACAATTATAATCTTTAAGTCTGTTTTGCTTTAACCTCGTGCTTAATGCAGCAACCAACAAAATAGCCTTGTACCCTTCGGATCCTACACACATACATGCCCTCGTATAATCACCTAGACTTCCTTCAGCTGCTTTAATTGGTCAGAGAGCTTGCTGACAATCAGAGTTAGCATTCTCATAAGCTAAGATGTGTAACAGTAGATCCTGGACATCTGTTTGTGAAAAGACCCGTTGCGTGCCTCCTGTAAGTAGGAGATAAAGTCTACATAAGGTTCTTCTGGGCCCTGCACCATCTTCACAAAAGAATGATGAATTTTTCCTGCTTCCTCTAACCGGTCCCAGGCTCTCATGCAACATTGTCAGACCTGATTAATAGCTTGATCATCATACACCAACTGTGCCTGAGCCCCAGCCACTGTCCAATCCCCAGCAACTGTTCCATGATAATTGCAACATTGTTTTCTTGATTTTTTTAGCCTGCTGTTTGGCTTCATTCTCCCACCAAGTCTTAAATTGCATATATGCTCCTGACTCTGTTACTGTTTTTAACAGTGACTCCCAATTTTGAGGGATCATTCGTTGAGCATGTGACGGTGTATCCAACAATCCCTGAGTGTAAGTGGAATGCATTCTTTCTAAATT